AGGTGGCCAAAATGTTGGAGTTTCAGCTTCAGCATCAGTCCTTCCAATGAATATTCAGGACTGATTTCCTTTAGGATGGACTGGTTGGATCCCCTTGCAGTCCAAGGAACTCTCAAGAATCTTCTCCAACACCACAGTTCAAAAGAATCAATTCTTCGGTGCTCAGCTTTCTTTATAATCCAACTCTCATATCCATACATAGCTACTGGAAAAACCGTAGCTTTGACTAGATAGACCTTTGTTGGCAAAGTAATGTCTCCACTTTTTAATATGCTGTCTAGATTGGTCACAGATTTTCTTCCAAGGAGCTAGTGTCATTTAATTTCATGGCTGCAGTCACCATCTGCAGTGATTTTGGAGCCCCCCAAAATAAAGTCTCTCACTGTTTCCATTGTTTCCCCATCTACTTGCCATGAAATAGCAGGGCAAATAGATGGTCCAGTGGTTAAGTGGTTAAGACATGGTCCCGTGGTTAAGACTTCACTTTCCAATGCAGGGGGTGTGGGTTTGATCTCTAGTTGAGGAGCTAAGATCCCACATCTGTCACAGATAAAATCAAAACATAAAACAGAAGCAATACTGTAACAAATTCAATAAAAACTTTAAAAAAAATGATCCACATCCAAAAAAAAAAAAAAAAAAACCCAAAGAGAATAGGAGGTTTCTGATATTGGTCAAGAACATTGATCAACATCAGGAAACTTAATAACACTATGTACGATTATCTAACATAAAGCCCATACTCAAAGTCTGCTGTTTCAGTCACGTCTTTTATAGGATTTCCCCCAAGATCCAGTCTAAGATCATGCACAGCATTCAGCTGTCATATCTCTTTGGTCTCCTTTCATCTTTGTTTTTCTTGACATCGGCATTTTTGAAGAGTCCAAATCAGTTATTTTGGAGCATGTCTTCAATTTGGGTTGATCTGACATTCCCTCACAATTAGACAGGTTCAAGTTAAGCATTTTTGGCAGTTGTGTCTAAGGATGTGTGATGTATGTCTTCCTCAGTACATCACATCGGGAGGCATGTGATGTCAGTTTGTCCCAATATTGGTAACATTAATCTCCATCACTTGGTTAAGCCAGGTTTCTCTAGTGCAAAGTTATTATTTTCTTAGATATTTTTTAAAAGTTTTTATTTTGAATTGAGGCATAGCCGATTAACAACGTTATCATACTTTCAAGTGAGCAGCAGAGACTCAGCCATATACACATACATGTATCCATTCTCCCCCAAACTCCCCTCCCATCTAGGCTGCCACATAACATTAAGCAGAGTTCCATGTGCTATACAGTAGGTCTTTGTTGGTTATCCATTTTAAATATAGCAGTGTGTACACGTCTATCCTAAACTGACTATCCCTTCCCACCATCCTTCTACTTGGCAACCAAAAGTTTGTTCTTGAAGTCTGTGAGTCTCTTACTGTTTCATAAGTTCACTTGTATCATTTGCTTTCAGATTCTACATACACAGGATGTCACATGATATTTCTCTTTCTCTGACTTGCTTCACTTAGTAGGGCAATCTTTAGGTCCATCCCTGTTGCTGCAAATGCATGATTTCATTCTTTTTAATGGCTGAGTAATATTCCATTGTATACGTGCACCACATCTCCTTCATCCATCCCTCTGTCAATGGACATTCAGGTGGCTTCCACGTCTTGCCTACTGCAAACAATGCTGCAATGAACCCTGGGCACACGTATCCTTTCAGATCATGTTCTTCTCCAGACACATGCCCAGGAGTGGGATTTCAGGGACATATGGCAGCTCTGTTTTTAGTTTTTTAAGGAACCTTCATACTATTCTCCATAAAGGCTGTACCAGTTTACATTCCCACCAACAGTGTAGGAGGTTCCCTTCCCTTGTGGAGAGATATTTTAAGACTATGACTATCATGTCCCTCAAAAAACTTCCACTCAGTGGTTTAGCATCCACTGATGATTCTTGCTTTAGTCAATTTATTTATTAATATGGTTACAAGATGGTGACTTTTAAATTCCATTATACCTTCTAAATGTATTAGTTGTCATTCTGAAGTAGAAGAAAGCCTCCTCTTCTCCCACACTTATTTACTTGGTTATTTTATATCCCTAGGGACATTTGGATATTTCTTTTAGTCAATGAGTTCATTACTGTCAGTTAATTTTGATGCTTAAGTTAAAAACTCAAGAGACTAGAAAATACCAGAGGGTATTACATATAATAGGTATGTATGTGAAAGTTACTCAGTCATGTTGAACTCTTTGGGACTCCATGGACTATATAGTCCATGGAATTCCCCAGGCCAGAATACTAGAATGGGTAGCCATTCCCTGCTCCAGGGGATCTTTCCAACCCAGGGATCGAACCCAGGTCTCCCACATTGCAGGCGGATTCTTTACCAGCTGAGCCACCTGGTAAGGCCAAGAATCCTGGAGTGGATAGTCTATCCATCTCCAGCAGATCTTCCCGACCAAGAATCAAACTGGGGTCTCCTGCATTGAAGGCAGATTCTTTACCAACTGAGCTACCAGGGGAGCCCATATAATAAGGTCATTTTTCATAAAACTTTTGTTTTAGCTATGTATATATGAAACCATCAGTATATTCATATGTAGTAGATTGTGACATAAAACTACTTCTTCCTGGTTCACAATCCAAAAATGTTGAGACTTGCTGGCCTAAAGGAGAATGCTGTGTTTTTCTATCCTCCCTTAGACAGGAGTGGGTGCTTCGCCCACCCAAGAAGCCCAAGGGGAGGGAAGATTCAAGAGAACAACTCAGAAAGACTGGGGGCCCCTCATTATCTGATTGGTCATCTCCTTTAAGGGTAGATTTATACACACTTCAATCTACTGTGCCTGTGAAAGCAAGTTCCGTGTAAACTGGGGAGACATGTGAGGTGGAGAAAGGGGGGCAGTGGAGAAACCTGTGTCCACTACTGGTTTCCGCTGTGTCAAGTGAACACCGTCCCATTGGGTTCAAGAGGGCTGGCCACTGGGTAAGGAGACCCCAGGAGCAAAAGGCTGGGAGAGCGCTGGCAGAAGTGGGGTCTGAGAGGAAGTAGAAGATGGAGAATCAGAACCATATCCCCCAAGGATCCTGCCATAGGAGCTCTGAGGCAGCGCTCACATGAGACTTAGGAGTCAGAGAGCCATCACGGGGATGCCTGCCCACAGGACACGGATGGCCACACGGTCTCAGCCAGAGAAGCAACAGCAGCCAAGAGAGGACCACACAGAAAGTGAAGGGAAGATGCCCCCTGGATCGCCCTCCCTCCCACTCCCAACCACACTGAGTCAGAGCATTAAATCAGATCTGAGATTTTTAAGTAGGCTGGACTTCATGAAGTCAGAACGTACTTCAAAGACATGAAATCCACCCAATATGCCATGAAGGAACTGGAAAGAGAGATTTGAGAGAACAGAATTGAAGACAGCTTCTGGGCAAAAAAGGAAAACTTTTTTCTAAATTCCACCATGCTGAGATTGCTCCATATTGTTCCTGGTCCCCTTAGGTCAGGCAAGTGAGGGCTGCCCTTCTGAGGCATTAATGCCCGTAGGCCGAAGGGTAAGAAGGAGTGGCCACAGAGAGGCCTGGAGTGGATGATTTGGCAGAAAGGGATTGAAAGTGCAGTCCCCGAGGTAAGGAAGGTGCTGGCATACAGCAGAACAAGAGACTGGAGGGACTGCAGTCTAGTGGAAAGGGAAAAGGAACGGGGAGGATGGGGAGGTCAGAGCATGGACCGTGAGAGTACAGTGGTCTGCAGCCTGTTGAGGGAGGTATGATCATTTTTTCTCGTTGGTCTTCATAATTTAAAAAAATTCCAAAAGTGCAAGATTTTCCCGAGTCCTGATTCCTAAAGGAAACTAACACTAATGTATTCTCCAGGCTTTTTAGACATCTATTTCCAAGCATGTATTTTAGTTAGTGAGTGTTAGTCAGTCACTCATGGCTGACTCTGCAACCCCACGGACTGTAGCCCACCAGGCTCCTCTGTCCATGGAATTCTCCAGGCAAAAATACTGGAGTGAGTAGCCATTCCCTTCTCCAGGGGATCTTTCCACCCCAGGGATGGAACCCTGGTCTCCTGCTTTGCAAGGGGATTCTTAACATTAATGAAAATTTCTTGTCCTGCAGTTTTTTTCCACTTGACAATCCTTCATGAATCTCATTCCATATTGTTGGTTAAATAAATAATGCTCAATCAATACCACACAGCCATCAAACATCACAATACCACTCTCTAGTGCTGACGAGAATGACTTTCTGAGTATGTTCAGTGACAGGGTAGATGACATAATAGAATGAACAAATACATGGGTAATAGAATGTGAAAACCCATATTTAATAATATACAAGTGGATATTTATTTGCATCATTTTGTACTGGAAAAAGTATAGCAGGATGTGCACCAAAATTTTAACAGTGGTGACATTTTTGACTTTTCTCCTTTCTTGGTTTTTTTTTTTTTTTCTAATTTTTCTACCACGAATGTGTAGTAACAAAGTTTAAAAATAAAAAAAAAAAAGAAGGGAAGCAAATAGGACAAAATTGTGACAAGTACAAGACAGGTGAAGGGTGCTTGCTCTGTTATTCTTAGCACTTCACTCTGCACATGTGTTTAATTTCTCAGAAAAGGGGCGAGGATGGCATAAAACAGCACAAGTTCAGACACACAATCAACAGCTTAGAAGAATAACTACCCATCACACTGATGGGAACTGTTTCCAAAATGATGGGTTATTCTTTTTGTTTGTAGCCAAAATAGAAAGACCTGCAAACACGGGATGACACTGATGTGTCTCTAAGTGAGGGGAATGGCTGGGTCAGTTACTCCGCATCACCGCTGACATTCCGGTGCCGACTCTTAACATGCCTCCACCTCCCTTACCCCAATGGAGTTCCGTGAAGAACAAGGACCCTAGGAAACCTCGCCAGGGCTTCCTTCTTGAGCCTGGAGTAAGACTCAGGCTTTTCCTGAATAAACCAAGGGTTGTGAATCAAAAAACTGACCTTTTTGTTCTTGTTTGGCCCAGAAGGTTTTGACTCGCTGGCGAATGTGCTTGTCCTCACGCAGCTTCTTCTGCCACTGACGCAATTCTTGAATCTCAGGATCACAGCGAACCTGGAAAATTCCCGCAAAGCTTTAGTTCCCTTTCTGCATACTTCTACACACTAACTTGCTAACCCTGCAAGGAAAATCCTTTACAAATCACCTGGATTACTTTTGATTCCAAATGAATCATTGTTCTAAACGAATAAACTATACTCCTAAAGCTTATGCAACATTCAAGAGTAAATGAGGCTGGATGAAGGTTTGCTATACTAATGGCAGGCTGAGAACTTTCTAGATCTGTGCTGTTCAACAGAAAAATAATGAAACTACATGTGTAATTATAAATTTCCTTGCAGTCTCATCTTATTTTTAAAAAATATTTCTTTATTTATTGAAGGGTAATTGACATACAATATGTTAGTTCCAGGTGATTTGACATTTGAATACCTTATGAAATGATCACCATGATAAGTCTAGTAACCATCTGTCACATACAAAATTGTTACAGTATTATTGGCTATATTCCTTAGGCTGTAAGTTACATCCCCATGACATTTATTTTATAATTGGAAGTTTTGTACCTCTCAATCACCGTCACCTATTTGCACATTCCCCCACTCACCTCCCCTCTGGCAGCCACCAGTTTGTTCTCCCTATCTGTGAGTCTGTTTTATTTGTTCATTTGTTTCTTTAGATTCCACATATATGTGAAATTTTACAGTATTTGTCTTTTTTTGACTTATTTCACTTAGCCTAGTATCCTTTAAAACTATCCATGTTGTCACAAATGGCAAGATTTCATTCTTTTTTATGACTCAGTAATACTCCACTAGGGCTTCCCATATAGCTCAGTTGGTAAAGAATCTGCCTGCAGTGCAGGAGATCCGGGTTCAATCCCTNGAAGGACTGATGTTGAAGCTGAAACTCCAATACTTTGGCCACCGGGTTTGAAGAACTGACTCATTGGAAAAGACCCTGATGCTCGGAAAAACTGAAGGCGGGAGGAGAAGGGGATGACAGAGGATGAGATGTTTGTATGGCATCACTGACTCGATGGACATGAATTTGTGCAAGCTCTGGGAGTTGGTGATGGACAGGGAGGCCTGGCATGCTGCAGTCCATGGGGTCGCAAAGAGTCAGACACGACTGAGCGACTGAACTGAACTGAAATATATGTATACATACATACATACATACATACATACATACATACATACATATATATATAAAACACATCTTTATTCATTAATCCATCCATGGACACTTCAGTTGCTTCCATAATCTTAGCTATTGTAAATAATGCTGCAGTGAACATAGTTCCCCAACCAGGGATCAAACGCAGGCCCTTGGCAGTGAAAACACAAGTCCTAACCATTGGAGCACCAGGAATTCCCGTATCTTTTTGAATTAGTGTTTTTGTTTTCTTAGGGTAAATACCCAGAAGCGAAATTGCTGGATTACATGATAGTTCTATTGCAATCTCATGTCAAAAAGTGAAAATAAACTGGCAAGATTATTTTTAGGAATACATTTTATTGGACTTCCCTCATGGTCCAGTGGCTAAAACTCTATGCTTCCAATGCAAGGGGCCTGGGTTTGACTCCTGGTCAGGGAACTAAATCCTACGTAGCTCAATTAAATATCCCGCATGCTGCAATGAAGATCAAAGATCCTGAGTGCTGCAACTAAGACCTGGTGCAGCCAAATAAATAAATATATTTTTTGAAAGTATACATGTTATCTACCTTGAAAGATCCAAAATAATATCATTTCAACATGTAATCAATATAAAATATTATTTATGAAATACTTTGCTATTTTCAATACTAAGTCTTCAACCTCTGATACGTATTTTACTTACAGAACATTTAAATTTGGATATATTTAAGTGTTCAATAGCTGCATGTAGCTGGTGGCTATTGTACAGGACAGCAGAGTTCTAGACGAATGTATTAACCACAGTTCTATTTGATTGAGTGCCTATTGCATACTGGGCTTTGTATAAGACATTGGGAATAAAGAAATAATTAGTGGTAATTATAATAATTATTATTATTAAACCATTAATATAACTCATAATTATTAAACATTTATGTCTCAGTCATTGTTTAGGTTTTTATACATTTTAACCATCAAAAGCAGATTATCCCCATCTTACAGATAAAGGAAACCAAGTTTAAGTGGCTTGCCTAGTCTCAGAGTTAGGAAATGGTGGATACAAACATAGGCAGGCTGTTCAGTTTCCCTTGAGAGACACAGGATTCACAGGAGCAAGATCAATAAGGTGTGGAAAGAGTAAGGATATCGGTGAGTACAACGAGACAGAGCGGGAAGCAAACTCAGCCTGGAGAGATCAGGAAACCTTCATGGAGGAAATGGCCTCTGGGCTGAGTGTGGAAGGATGACCTGGAGTTGACTGTGGAGAGGAGGAAAGTAGAGTGTCACAGTGTCCTGGGGACCTGGCGTTTAAGGAAAATGAGTAAAGAAAGCCCAGGAAGGGGTCAAGTGGGAGAACACAGGCTCCTCTATAGGGGCAGCCGCCCCCAGCTCTGCTGATCCAGGCGACGCCTCCAAACCAGGGCCCAACCTCCTGATTTTCCCAGACACCGCTGGGTCTTCTGACTTCCTACTCTGATCACTGGAACCCAGGCTTCCTACTGTGATCACTGCAATTCTTTGATTTGAACTGTTCAAAGTCACTCACACGTCTGCCTTCCCAGGGCAAAAACACAGTCCTCGAAAGAGCTACACTGAGTCCCAACTCACAGTATCAGCCACCTCACTGTCCCAGAATCACTGCCATTTCCTCTTTGTTTCTCCCCCATCAGGAGAGTCTACCTCTTACTTCTCTCATAGTAACTTGACTTTGGCAAAAACACAGTCCTCGAAAGAGCTACACTGAGTCCCAACTCACAGTATCAGCCACCCCACTGTCCCACAATCACTGCCATTCCTCTTTGTTTCTCCCCCATCAGGAGAGTCTACCTCTTACTTCTCTCATAGTAACTTCACTTTGGGAGTCTGTTGCCCTTCCCTCCCACCAGATATTCAGTCGAGTCACCAATAACTCCAGTTCTTATAAGTTATGCTAAAATGCACATAAAATCTACCATTTTAACCAAAGTGTAAAATTCAGTGGCATGAGTATATTTACAATATCGCACAAATATCACCACTATCTAATTCCAGAAGATCTTCATCATCCAGAAAAGAAATCACAAATGTATTAAGCAGTTACTTGCAATTCTCCCCTCTCCCAGCCCCTGGCATCCACTAATCTGCTGTAGTCTCCATGTGTGGTGCTATGCTTTGTCGCTCAGTTGTATCCAACTCTTTGTGACCCCGTGGACTGCAGCCAGCCAGGCTCCTCTGTCCATGGCGATTCTCCAGGCAAGAATACTGGAGTGGGTTACCATTCCCTCCTCCAGGGGATCTTCCCAACCCAGGGATGGAACCCAGGTCTCCCACATTGCAGGCAGATTGTTTACCAACTGAGCCACAAGGGAAGCCCAAGAATGCTGGAGTAGGTAGCCTATCCCTTCTCCAGAGGATCTTCCCAACCCAGGAATCAACCCAGGGTCTCCTGCATTGCAGGCCGATTCTTTACCAGCTGAGCTACCAGGGAAGCCCGTAGTCTCCAAACACCCATCTTAATCTGTAGATCCACAGTCTCTGTGGATTTCCTATTCTGGCTATTTCATATAAATAAACTCATTAGTAGATAGCATTTTGTGTCTGGATTCTTTCATTTCTTGTTGGTGTTCAGCCACTAAGTCGTGTCCAACTCTTTGCAACCCCATGAACTACAGCATGCCAGGCTCTTCTGTCCTCCACTATCTCCCAGAGTTTGCTCTAATTCATGTCCTTTGAGTCGGTGATGCCATCTAACCATCTTATCCTCTGCTTGCCCCCTTCAAAGGCTTTAGCATGGTCGATGAAGCAGAAGTAGAGGTTTTTCTGAAACTCCCTTGCTTTCTCCATGATCCAGTGAATGCTGGCAATTTGATCTCTGGTTCCTCTGTCTCTTGGAAACCCAACCCAACTTGTACACCTGGAAGCTCTCAGCTCGTGTACTGCTGAAGCATAGCTTGAAGGATTTTGAGCATTACTTTGCTAGCATGTGAAATGAGCACAACTGTACAGTAGTTTAAACACTCTTTGGCACAGCTTCTCTTTGGGATTGGAATGAAAACTGACCTTTTCCAGTCCTGGGGCTACTGCTGAGTTTTCCAAATTTGCTGGCATATTAAGTGTAACACTTTAACAGCATCATCTTTTAGGATTTGAAATAGCTCAGCTGAAATTTCATTACCTCCACTAGCTTTGTTCATAGTGATGCTTCCTAAGGCCTACTTGACTTCACATTGCAGGATGTCCGGCTCTAGGTGAGTGACCACTGACCACACCATTGTGGTTATCCAGGTCATTAAGACCATTTTTGTTTAGTTCTTCTATGTATTCTTGCCATCTCTTCTTAAGCTCTTCTGCCTCTCTTAGGTCCTTATCTTTTCTGTCCTTTATTGTTCCCATCCATGCATGAAATGTTCCATTGATATCTCCAATTTTCTTGAAAAGATCTCTAGTCTTTCCCATTCTATTGTTTTATTTTACTTTTTTGCATTGTTCATTTAAGAAGGTCTTCTTATCCCTCCTTGCTGTTCTCCGGAATTCTGCATTCAGTTGGGTATATCTTTCCTTTTCTCCCTTGCCTTTCACTTCTCTTCTTTCCTCAGACAACCACTTTGCCTTCTTGCATTTCTTTTTCTTTGGGATGATTATGGTCACTGCCTCCTGCACAATGTTATGAACCTCCTTTCATTGTTCTTCAGGCTCTCTGTCTACCAGATTTAATTCCTCGAATTTATTTATCATCTTCACTGTATAATTATAAGAGATTTGATTTAGGCCATACCTGAATGGCCTGGTGCTTTCCCAACTTTCTTCAGTTTAAACCTGAATTTTGCAATAAGGAGGTTGTGATCTGAGCCACAGTCAGCTCCAGGTCTTGTGTTTATTGACTGTACAGAGCTTCTCTATCTTTGGCTGCAAAGAACATAATCAATCTGATT